AAGCAATGAGTTTTTTTTTATGACGCAGGTAAGGGTAGTGGCATCTGATGTTAACTGATGAGTAGAAGATGGGATCTTTCTCTTGTTAGAAGTAGTTGAATGTAGAAATGTCGCAAACATTTTACACCCCATTAGTAACATGTGAGAACCTAACTATAAAATGAATTTCATTTAGCATATCACAAAAAGATAATGATGGTATCCTAAAAAGGCATTAGCATGGAATTGTTTAGCTATTATCGTAAGTAATAGATCATTGACAAAACTAAAATCGATATTTATTTATCTCTAATCTATTGTTTATTCCTTTCTTTCGAAACTTCATGGTGGCAAGAGGCCAGACTAAATACGATTTAAATTGCCACATCATCGATTTGCCTCTATTTCTAGATTAGCCAGAAATAGCAGCTCCGTAATCATCCTTAATGACCCTCACTGAGACCTGGGCAAGTTGCCACAAACGTCACTATTTCTAGACGTCAAACAAAAACATGACCACACGCGTAAAATTGTACTCAGGCATTATTCGTATACAAAAACGCAATGCCTTCTGCACATCAGCTTCTGGTGAATCATGTTTGTTTTCTTCTGGTAAATCGAAAATTGTTTGCAAACCGTTATTCTGCTGCTTCGCTTCCAGAAGCCCGTAGTGGATAAGTGATCGAAAACATGAAAACAAAACTTTCTGTGAACAAGCTCAACACAAAGGCAATTAGTCTTATTATGTCCTGATGCTCAATAAGCCCTGAGTCCTTAACCCCTTCTCAGTACTCTACCCTGAGGCCCAAAAGATTTAGCCCTCACTGCAACGGATATAAGATAGATATGCGGACCGAGAAATGCTGGAAGCTCTGACTGCCTCAGAACATCGCCAGAAGAAATCTTCCCACAAGTTATGCCAGTTACGCTAGCAAACCCACAGATGCCCAAAATATGGTGGCAACGCATCTGAAACGAATTTTTAAAGTGTCACGCCCTTCTGGGAATCACAGGCTCCATTGCTTCCCTATAAATCTATACAGCAATAGGGACCAATAAAAAACTTTGTATCTGTCCAAGTGCAGGGGGGGGGGGTTGAGTGATATTTTAAAATGTAAACATCATTGCACCTGATTCCTGGAATATTTCCAAGCAAGGCATAACATATTTCTGTTATTTTGATCACCGTATCAATTAGACAGATCATTAAAAACAGGTGGATTAACCCGCTGAATATCCAGTCAGAAAATGTTGAAGAGAAACAAACAACTGCCAGAAAAGAAAAGCACAAACCCCATTACTGCATCTACCAGCTGCAGTTACAAGGAGTAAAGTCCCAACCCACTGTTAATATTGATTCACATAGTATGTCTTATCTATCGACTGTTTGAATGGTCTCTTCGCACCTGCTCTGATCCACAAATAAACCCTCCTGCTTGTCATTGTAAACAACGATAGCTCGCTCGCGTGAGAATTCGAACAATAAGCCTTCAATGTTGCCAAACCTTTAGGAATCAAGCATTCCTAGAAACTTAGCCGATCTTAACTGTTAACTCTTGAATACCTTTCTAAAGGATATTTATACGGATATCTAAAGGTTAATTTCTAGGCCAATAACTTTAAAGAATCAATACTTTGGATTAAAATCGTTATTTACGCTAAGCATTCGGCATTGTAGGTTGTAAGCGAAACGATTCTGTAAACAGCAGCTGATTCTTTCTGGTCTTTGTATAAAATCAGTCTCTGAACACCTTTTATTCTGAACATTATATCATTCATTCGCGTATTTTCTAATCGAGTCAGTCACAAACTAGAATATTCCTGAGTTATATTTTCCTTGAAAATTTAGAATCACTTCTTCTGAAATTGTATAGAAAAAAGTAAAATATCAAGCTTTGAAGGCTTGTCTCTTATCTGAATTACGGTGTTTAGAATAGGACGGTTCTAAGTTGCTACTTTAATGCATAATGTGATCACCAGACAATTATGTAATTTGACCTTATCTGAACTATATATATTTTCTACACTTCTTAAGCAATTTAAGAAACAATAATTTATTCTTCTAATATGAAACCAACCAAATACAATCAAACTATGGCAAATTGCCGGAGTCAAAAAAAAATTAAAAAAAAACTCTTTATGTTGACGAAAGTTATCTAACTTACGAGAAGAACTTCTGAAAACGTCACTCGGATTTATATGTTTACAAACTTCTTTGCGTTCTGCCTATTAAGATTTATCTGTGCCCTAAGGAGCTAAATTCAGGGAAGGGTGCGACATTTGGTTTCAAGATCGCGTCAGCATTCGTTGTCTTTGTCCATTCTTAATATGATAAAAACATTCTAGTGCGATCTAGAAAATAGCAGCAATTTCGGAGGATCTGGTTCCAAGGAGCAGGTGCCATGCTAATTCTAAAATTTTAAAACTTTGCCTCTTCAAGCTGAAAATTTTGAAAAATTGTTTAGATGAATTTTGAAATTGGTCATATTTTCTTTTCGATCTCCATTGAACGATATTTGGGTCACAAACATTGAAAGATTTTGCTATAAACTAAGTGTAATAACTTTGAAATCGAATAAATGTTTTTTCAAACACATAAAACAACCCTGCAGGATATTCTTCAAATTATTTAGATCTTACAAAATAGTTGCAACTATGCTCTGTGCAAGAAGAACTTTATGAAAAATTATTACTACTAGAAAAGACAACCGAAATTCGGCTACAATCAAGCACATATTCGTTTTTATAAAGAAAATTCGGAAGAAACAAGAATGAGTAGAAGGCTGACACTAATCTTATGATCAATTTTGAAAGGTTTGACATTTGAAGACAAAACTTGATCGTTGCAGGAAATTAATGATGACGCGAGGAATCTATGCAGCATGCATAAAATAAGCGAGAAATATGTGGGACAGGATAACCGTGTTTTGCAATTTCTACGTTATCAGAGATTCGCGCAATTATCAAGGTTGAGGTGGGCGTGTTGGCAGAACGGCCTGTGGAAGATGACATTGCTTAGAATTAACGACACAATAGAGAAGGAGGGCATATTGATGAATATTGATAACTTATTCTAGTTAACTGTTTGGTTTTCATAGCAAGCGTTGCCATATTTTCTAAACAATGTGTGAGGTTGTAATTACGAATCGTGATGATTGTTCTTTCTTGCTTGAGTAACGCAGTTTGACAATATTCGGTACTAATCGATTCAAATTAAACACATGGCCACCATGTCAAACTCATGAATAGCGTATGCATTTCGGGTTTGCTATGTTTGATGAAGGAAATAAAGGAAACCATCCCTGATTGGAGCTCCTCTTGTGAAACCACCTTCTATGTTTGCTTTCTGTAATGGAATACCAACAGTCTAATGTTGCTTAAATCAATCAAGTTACGTTTCTTTGCTACAAGTCACCATGCTATCACGCCTCACCACCATAAGAAATCATCTTTTGTTATATTCATAGACATAAAATACAAAATCGTCCACTTTAAGTTTCTCCGTCTAGAACCATCAAACAAAAACAATATTTTTTTACCACCTGTAAACCATGCTCTGTGATTTCAATCAGGTTTCTTAAACGGCAAGAAAAATTCGATTTTGATTTGAATAGCTGTTAATATTATAGTGGGTCATCGCCGCATCTCCTCGATTCGACATGATTCGTCTCAAAATCGGGTTGTCGAAAATATTTTTTCTTAAAGGCAATCCATCCATAGAGAGTGCAGCTGTTATACTGATGTTGAAATGCTGACATGAGCTAAGTCGTTCTGTGATTTGATTGGTTGAGACTAATCTGCTCGTGCATTGATTGGTTCAGACCAAGCTACATTTTCTTGACAACATGCTCGTTTAAGGCCACAGTACTTTTAGCAATACCTAGATCAAAATGCTTTCTTCAACAGATAACCTGTAACAGCGCTAGCCAAAAACATGGCTATTTCCTATTGATTCTGTTGGGGGATATTCAAAATTCTGTTGGGGGGATATTCAAAATTCTGTTGGGGGGATATTCAAAATTCTGTTGGACGGGGGAGGAGTCAGTTTGATCTCATATTCAATGGTGGAAACGCAATTTATATACGTTTATATGGAGAATATGTGTATACTTATTGAGAATATGCTTAAACAGTTGAGAAAAAGATAGAGCATTAAATGCTAAGTATCAAATAGGAATAGGTATCGAAGTCATTTCTAACCATAGGTGCCAGTTTTTTCAATGAGACTTTAGAACTTCGCCAGATTTCAGCACAAGTGGATTATTTTCGTACTTAAGAAGCTTTTTCAATAAAGAAATTTTAATATCATCGTTCAAAACATTGCTGCTGTGAAATTAGATTTTATAGATTTATTTTATTCTTGAATATATAAGTCACTTTCTTTTGACACTGTTAAGGCTAGGACACAAGGCAAACATTACAGCAGCAAGTTTGTAATGTTTGAAGTATTGTTCCTGTAAAATAATACCATTGTTTGTTTTTAATAAAAAAATTTACCAATGAGTTGAGTATTTTTTGGTCTGTAGCAGATGAAAAGCGTATATTTAAATCTGGTTGACTATTATATTCATTGTTGCCTATCAGGTTTCTAAATAATATTCAGTCCCTTCACCACGGGGTTACTCTTTATCTTGCTTGAATTTACAAAGGTATCTGTGGTCTTTTCATTCCTACAAAGAGACTATAGTTTTAATGCTTTCTAACGATTTATTTTGTTCTATGACTTTAAGTTAATGTAGCAAAAAACAACATTCTCTCATTGAAGGATTTTTCTTCCATGGTTCCAGTTAGTTTGCATGAAGTTTGATATTTCCAAGGAATTCATACGAACATTTTAACAGGTTGCGTGTTTTACTGCACGTATCCCGACATTGACTAGATATTATAAAATTCACAATGACAAAGCTTACATACATTTTGTGATAAATAGAATCTCTTTAGGGACACTGTTTTTGATACTATGTCACTGTTGCTGACTTCAAAATAGTAAGCTTTAAATCTTTTTTTAACTTCGTTTTCAGGAGGTCCTGACTATTTTATGAGTGCATTCATGCGGTCACTAGTTGCTCCTTTACCATCTTCTTGGTTTATTACTACACACATCTTACTTAAGGTGAGCGAAATTTAACAATACAGCTTTTAAACTGTATACAACTGCGATACATGCCATGGATACAGCTGCGATTATAGTATAGCCCAGCCTGCAGTTTTGTGGATCCTCGGGCCCACATTCGAGTTTGGCCTCAAGCGTGTTCCCCCCAAAAAAATTTCCCCAATTCATATTTTGAATTCTGACAGTTTAACAAAATATCAAGAAAAATATAATTATATGCTAATCAAAGCAAACAATAAAATTGAGCCCTAAGATTCTGGGCCGGTTCCATTCTGCGATCGGTATAGATAACTCCAACCAACTCTTTTCAGAAGGGCATAGTGTCTTGGTATTCTGGAGGCTCGTTAGCTCTTGCGAGGTTTCTTAAAATAAGAATATTGCAGTTTTGATGTGCAGATACGTTTTCTTCTGTACACATTTGGAATCACGTTACAAATTTTAAGAATGATTTAGAAACTAAGATGAATGTTTTCTACGTAGATCCATGGCAAATCAGTCAGGGTACCTGCAGAACTGTAGTTCGTATCTGTGAACATAACATTTTTTGGGACGGAGTATTCTACTCTGGAGAAGGACAGAACCAACCCATTTTCTTGCTTATCGAGAAATAATCTACTCCCCCAGTTGCACACCATAGATTCGTTCGTCAGGTTACTGGAGCAAATAAATACCTAAAAGCTTTATTACAGCTATAATACCTTAAAGTTAAAAAAATTATTTTCAGTCTGGTCTTTTCTTCAATTTCTTTCGATTTATCAAATACAATATGCAATAGCTACGATAAGTGCAAATTTGAAACATTCACTCCATCGTACAATCCTTATTGTGTGAATGACATGACACTCGTGTGTGAATACCTGTTCGTAGTTTAAACTAGTTTTTACTTTTTGCTTACGCGGTTTGCATATAACGATATGGTACAAAAAGGAACAAAAGCACAGGTTGGCCCATTCAGATAAATTCAGATGTGCAGAACATTCGCGGGCTGAAAATTCTCAATGCTCAATACCGCATGAATAATTCGCTTGTTAAATGCGTTCAACTTTCTCCGCCCCTGACAGATAAAGTGACCGCATTTTCGAATTCAGCCACACAGGCCAGCACATGATAAATTGAGTGTGAAATAGAGGAGGCACCGATAATCATACTTTTCCTTGGTTTATTTAAAGACCGCCGACTATGGTTTGATAACATTTCTTAAATTATTGAAAAACTGAGAAAAAGAAATCAAAACCAAAAGAGATCAAGTGATAAAGCCAAACACATACGGTATAATTCCTTGTTGGACAGCATGGCTACCGAAAAGGTTAGCTCAGTTTAGCTTAGGCCAGTTACCTATAGAGAATTGTCCCTGTCAATCACCTTCAAATTTAAATAATGATACATAAAAGATGAATTATAAATATGGCAGGAAATTTTAGAAGTTAGAGTATTGTGATGAGTTTATCAAGAGCAAAAGATTTACGGGGTCCTTTATGTTAGCCATATTTACTCTCCTTTTCTGAAAGCAACATTAATGGCACCCCAGGAAAGAAACAAGGATACCTTGGGGTTGAGAGACATCCAATAAACCCAAAAAGTAAGGGTACAATTTTCCACTCAGAAGTAGCTGCCAGTTGATGGTATCATTCTAGACATGCTAATCTACATCCATTTGTGGTGAAGATATGCCTTAAAACAGTTTTGTTATCAGTGGCGGCGCCAGCTACTGCAGAGTGGGAGAGTAATGGGCGTGGCCTGTGAGACTACGCCCATTTTTGCCTCGTTTTTGCGCTTTGTACCAGGTCAACTTCCCTCAGGAAATATGATCTACGCTTACCTAGCGCTTTATAATCCGTTTTTAAAAGAAATATGTGGACCATGTTTTGACAAAAGTAGGAGGTAATTACCTCCCCCCTTACCCCCTTGGCGCCGCCATATTAAGGAGAAGAACAAAGAAAAATGAGTTTTAAAGAACAGGAAATGATTCAGAATTCCCAAAACTATAAAACTTTTGAACTATGAAATCTGTTTATTTTCTAGACGGCATTACCAGCACATCTTCCTAATACTAGCCTTTCAGCAAGGAGATCTCTTTATCCAACGCATATTGGACAATAAAATTCGCAGCAAAATTCGTCTCCATCATATTTAATACTTTTAAATATCCCCGCATGAGCATTAAGCTGATACACGTGACGCTTGGTGCACGATCAGCATCGATCTTATAAAAAACCATCTTTTTCAGGAATAACATTTTAGATCTTTGCTTCCAGCCTGGAGTTATTCGAGTAGTTTCTAACCATTTTATCTTTCTGAGCCTCGACGTTCTTGCTTTAAAGGGTAATGGACAATCTAGTGCATAAAAGTATCTACTTCTCAGGTCTGTTAACTTGTCACGTGACTTTGGTTACTTATTCTACTTTGCAAATTTTGAGCTAAAGAGATTGCAGAAAAGTTGAACGAAGTGAAAAATTCTCCATGAAATGCCCTATTTTGAAAACAAATGACAAATATCTCATTGGGGGGGGGGGGGGGGGGGGGTAAGGGTGGTTTTATGTCAATCATTTAATAATGGGAAGTAGTCTGTAATGAAGAGTGTGGCACTTTAATCTTGCAAATCAGTGACCTTTTTTGAGCAAAAAACGTTCGGGTAAGCTCCCATTTTCCATCCTTCATTTACCTGCTAGCTTTTCAATGAACCTCGTAACTATTCTTCCTCTGAAGCCTTAGTTGACATATCAATGATATAAATTAGATGCAATAGGCATATATGAAATTTAATACAGATCGTAAACTAGGTTTTATGGGTTACCAGTTCCAAATTGATGATGTCATAAAATGTATTTTTGCTATTATTAATTATTATTTTTTTGTATTATATATTTATTAGAAAATTACAAAAAAAACATTGAATGTGCAAAATCAGTTTAATGTGTTACAATTGGCTGAGATATGTAATTTGTATTCACCATGTAATTTGTTCTTGTTTTAAAATTTTATAAATCAGGTCAAAACAAAAGCATCAGCGAAACTTAGATTTGTTTCAAGTTGCTGTATCTCAATCAATGTGCAAACAGATTTAATTGACTTTACATTCTCAAATGTATTTAATGATTTTCTTCCCAGGAATACGATAAGAGCAAACACAGTTTTTATGTTTAAAGTTTTATGTTTAAAGTTTAAAGTTACGTTTAAAGTTTAAAACTCTATTGGAAAGGAAACGCGCTTTTAGAGCTTCTGGGGGGTATTAAAGGTCTGCTTATTCGTGAATATATCGCAAAAACACTAAACTCATTATTTTTTATAAGAAACAAAGGTCGATGTTGAGTACTCCAGTTTCTTAATGTTCTGCAAATTTCAATACTCATTGTTTCTTAAGAGTTTCTTAAGTATGATGTCATGAATGATGTTATGAAATGTTCGTGACCTTTTCTATCACGTCAAGAGATTCACTTCCGTTCCGATGCTGTATTTAGATGTGGGAAGTATATTTTTATCCCTTTTATCTTAAGTTCTAGGCCAACAGGGCAATTCTGTTCTTGGATTTTACAAAATTTCGTTGTTCTCAATTTTATCACGATTTACTAGTTTCTTCATTTTTTTGCTTCGAGTACTGAAGTTTCTTAATTTTTTCTGACTGTCCAGTACTCGTTTCTTATAGCCAGTTTCTTATAAAAAAAATGAGTGTAATGGTCTAAAATGCTGTTTGGACTCGTTTGGACCGAGTATATTGAAAAAAATGATAATGATAAATGATAAAAATATGAATAAGATTGTTAAAAATAGTTTTTAAATTGTTGTGCTGTCGGTAAATAATGATGCAGTCGTTTTTTTACGTTGGATTCTTTCATAAAACAAAACAACGATTTGGGGTACTGATACAAAAACAAAAACAAATAACGAATCCTCACTTTCTAAATTCCATAGCTTTCACAAAGAGGGTACTGAAAAAGGTACTTTTATTAAATATAACATGAGCATGATTTAAGCGAGAAACAAGTGGTAGAGAATTCCTCAAATTCTCAACCAAGGTTTGACATTCTTCGAGCGGGAGTTGCTATGGCCCTTATTTACACAATATTTGCAGTTGGGGTCAGGAAAGGTTCAGAGCTCTTTACAAACTGTTTTTGGGAAAGGCAATAGATCAACGACAAACCTGGATGTATCGATCATATGAAACTATTAACAAAGTATTAGAAGGAACACCGGGTGAACCGCAAGAAAATGAATAAGCTATGAGTAGGATGTAGCGAATTAGCTTGCCAAAAATAATTGAATTCACTTGGACATATCAGGGGCATGGACAGATTTCCACATGATAGTCGGATTATTGACAATTGTCAAAAACGAGCTGTTGCGACAGGATTGACAGACCACTGACTTTCTTGTGATTCACCTTTGTGAAATATAGTCCAGGTGCTATTGGCCACACAAACTTGGGACCCTTCTTTCCAGAAACCTGATTGATATCATGGTCAAAGTAATTACATTGCGAACATGTGTGCATAATGTAGATTGACGGGTGTCAAAAAAGGCCGTGACATTTTTGGGATGACTTTTGACTTCATCCTCGAAAATAAACTAAACTTTCTTCAATTGATACTGCTATAAACCTACAAGAATGCATCAATATTTCAAGAATAAAGGCTTGTATTTCAGCTTTGGCATCCCTAATTTTCTGAGACTTTATGAAGGAAAATACGAATCGTAAGACATGCCTTAACATCAAGGGCAATTATTGTAATTGTGATTTAATACAGCAGAAACCCGCATAAAAAAAACCTAGGTTTTTTTCTGGCAGCCTGAATAGGTTCTTAATAACCAGGCTGCTATTCTAAATTCCAGTCTAAAAGGTTCTTAACAAGGCTCTTATATATGTACAGGCCTTGCACATATTCACAATGTTTTCCACCGCAAGAATTCTCAAAAAAGGACACACTTAAACCAGCTTTTTTAACGTTAAATTTCAACCAATCAAATGAATTTGTGTTGTTAGATTGTCCAATTAGAATACAACA